CTCTTGCGCAAGAGGGCTTATTCCTCGTGGGGAGAGGAATAACTCTTGTGCAAGATGCTCTCTGTTCTGACATCTTACTGTGAATTTACTTGTTCAAGAATGCACGTGCAGTGTAGACGTGCTGCAAGTTTTTGAAAAAGAACAGCCATTCTTGCGCAAAAAGCTTGCAGTGTAGATGTCATAGAGTCCAGATATTGGTCTCTTTCAGATATTCATAGCCTTTCCCCATACTCTAGATCAGTGGTCTCCAACCTTTTTAACCCCAAGATCACTTTTTCAATTTAAGTACAATGTAAGATCTACCTCAAACCCAAATACCCTTGCCCCCACTTCCTTTTCGAGGCCCTGCCCTTCTCTGAGGCTCCACTCCTTCTCTGAGGCCTCAGCCCGCTCACTCCATTCCCTGTCCTCCCTGAATCTCATTCGCTTTCACCAGGCTGGGGTAGGGGGTTGCAATGCAGGCTCTGGTCCATGGAGTTTGGAGTGTGGGTGGGGCTCCAGGCTTAGCCCAGTGCAGGGGATTGGGGTCTGGGAGGAGTTTCAGGGTGCAAGCTCTAGGAAGACATTTGGGTGCAGGGGGACTCATGTCTGGGGCAGGAAGGTTGGGGGCAGGAAGAAGTTCAGGGCTGGGACAAGGGTTCAGGAAGCAGGCTCTGGCGGGGCATTGTTTAACTGAGATGGCTTCCTGGTGGTGGAGCAGTGGGGTTAAGGCAGGCTTACTCCTGTCCTGGCCCTGCATCACTCCTGAAAGCAGCTGGCTTGTACAGCAGTGGCTCCATGTGATGCCCTCATCTACAGGCACTGAGCCCATAGCTTCTACAGGCCAGTTAGTTTCCCCATTACTGATCAATGGGAGCCGCAAGAGTGGTGTCTGCAGGCAAGGACAGCACATGGAGACCCACTGCTCTGCCTTCTCAAGGGCTGCAGGGACATGCCAGCCGTGTCCAGGAGCAGTAATTGCCATAGGGATAATTACTCCAGCCATGACAGGTTAGGTATTGTAGAACTCACTGCTCAAAGAATTAAATGTAAGTGTAAGAGCCAAATGAAAACTATGAAATGCACAGACCAGTCAAAAACCTAAAATAACCCACTTTGCAAGCAGTAAAAGAAGTAACAACCCCTCATGTATGTATTGGGTCGGGAAGAGAGGGAAGGACAGTGTGTGTTTGTGAGAATGACAGAGGCACACTCATTGTGTGAAAGTGACAGAGATTTGCATTGCCAAGCTCCCTCCATCCCCTTCTCTCTGCATGGAGACAGGGTACAGAAATGGGGAGAGGAGGGACACGCTGACATCAGCATCTCCCCTCTTCTTTCTCCCACAACCTGCACTGAAAGCAGGAGGTTCCCATGGGCGCAGTTCCAAGGCAAAGGGCTGGAGCAGCATGACAGGGTGGAGGGGCAACTGAAGTACCAGCGTGTGGCCAGGAAGCTATCAAACCAGTCAGGATCACCTGTCAGAGGCTCCAAGATCTACTGTTAGATCCCTATCTACTGGTTGGTGACCACTGCCCTAGATCATAGTCCCAGTCTTCTGCCTAAGCCAGTCATACTTCTCACCCTTTCATGCCCCCCCGAGTCTCGCTCACCACACTTTTTGTTCCAATCTGTTCCTGTCCATCCACCAGTCTGGCTTCTACTCTGTGTTTGAATAATCACCTGCATTCCCACTCCATACTGTCTGGGTGCCAGCGGGGGAGAGGGAGGTTCACTGTTAGAACAGGAGAGAGAGGCTTCCTGTTCTCAGTTCTACTGCCCCACCCCTGGCCCAGGACAGCTCTTACAGGGAAACTTTAGCTTTGTTCCTGTAGCCCTAGGCTGGAGGAAGTATGCTCAGTTACTGTGTGGGGATGGTGCATGCACAGTCTAGTCAACCATAATTCATCTCCTATGTGTATATGCATAATGACACAATCTTTAATTATATAATCACATTAGAAATGGAGGGAGTAGTTTTTCTATACAGCTCTTAAACATGAAGCACCCATTTTTAGCTAATACAGTATTATTGTCTCTTCGTCCAGACCCTCCTGATTATTTATTTTTGCTTACAGTGAGTCAATAAAGTCATTAAGCATAACATAGAAGTGCTTCATAGTTTCAAAGTCTTAAAACACCCCTGTATTATGCCATCTGCAAAATGAAGCAAGGCACAGACAGATGATGTGGCTTAACCAAGGTCACACAGAGAGTAATTGGTAAAGCATGGATTTTAACTGAGAGCGCACCCAAACCACTGCACCATCTTTTCTCTAATGCCTGTTGAATCATTCAATATCTCTTCCTGCACATATATGGGTTTTCCCTGCAGTATATTTTCTGTTGTGTTGTCCATTCTCATTTTAAATCCCATATTTGTAGATTTATGTTGGCCTTGCAATTATACAATATGTATATTTCAGGTGCTAAAATTGTAGCTCACAGGATATGTTTACACTGCAATACATGCAAATACTATCACTAACGTAGTACTCACATTATTAAACAGAATAATTCTCATTGATTGGTATGCAAACACTCTTCAAACCTTAATTTTATCTTTGTGAAAAATACAATTGCAACATCTAGATCAAGCTTATCCTTTGTGGTAGAGCTCTGGTAGTGCCCCCTGTGTCTTATGTTTTCTGGCGTATTTTAAGATGCCTCAGAGGCTCACAATGACCCTCCTACTGCCTCTCGGTTCTTTCAGAGGTGAGGGTTCCCTGCTTAATGAGCCCCTTTCATCATTGGCTAGTCACTAGCTTGGAGGGAAAACCCCTTCCACAGTCCAAAAGTCCCCTTTTCCCTGGTGGCAGCCCACCGGACATGGGAAGGGTTGGGGGAAACCTGGTTCTGGGCCAGGGACTCTAGGTAGCAGCTACTAGTGGGGCTCTTGGGGCCTTTCCCTGAGCCACTTCCCCAACCACCCCCACAATATCTTCCCCCTGGCATCTTGGGAGAAACCTCTTTAGTTTGTCACTTGCAGTTTTTCTTTCTCTCTCTCCTTCTCTTTCTCTTTTCTTCCTCCTCTTCTGCAGTCCATCCCTCTTCTCCTTCCCCTACTTTGCCTGAAGGGAAGCCTTTTATAGTGTATCAGCAGGCCTTAACTGGTGGCAGGTGTTCCTTTAGGCTGCACTGCAGATTGGCTCCTAGTGGGTTTCAGGTGCCCACTTGACCTAATGGCTGAGCAATAGTCTATGGCAGCCTGTTCAGGGAACATGAACCCGGACACCCAACTACCCATGTACCTGCCCTTTACCAAACTCCTGCAAGCAACTGCCATCTGTCTGCCACGCCTTCCATTATCAAACTCTTTCAAAACAGCATATAAAATCTTCAGTAGCTTCCTTTTATTCATACAAAGGTTATACACAGTCTGACCTTTTATGTATTTACAATAGTTTTCTGTACTATTTGTGTCTGGCCCCAACTATGCAATTTTATTTATAGTGACTCTTGTGCTTCATTTTGGGGATCTTGTGTAAAGGAATATTTAAGGCCATTGCCTCAGTGAGCCAAAGATGTGGGAAAGGGAACTGAATATAGAGCTGGGCTGAATTTTTCACTTCAATAATTTATTCACTAATGCAGTTTTAGGTCACTCAAAATAATTCTTTGCAAATTCGTATCAAGTTTTTCAAACAGTTTTGGCCTAGCCAAAAACATCAAAACTTTTTGTTAATGCTGAAATATTTTGCCATGACTATCAGGTGTTTAAACAAAAGGAAACATCACCAAATAAGAAAGTGCCACCTCCGCATAAGCTTTAGCCCAGTGATGATTAAGCAGCACTCATCAGGGATAGAAGACCAAAGTACAGTTTCCACCCCCCTCCTTCTGCCTGCTGTGGAGAAGGAATTTGAACTTGGGTCTTTTCCCATTGTATGAGAAAAGTCACTTAGACTATAGGATATTTTGGCATGAACCCTTCTCATTCTCTTCTTGAAGCTGTTCCACTCTATAAATAATTAAGTAGTCTTTGGAGCAGGGACTTGAATTTGGATCTGCCTCATCTTTGTTGAATGACCACTGTTAACAGTAGATCATCATTGGGGAAGTAAAAAGACAGTAAGACCTTTAGCCTATGCAACTTCAAGAAATTCCAGAATATGAAACAGCTGTACTGCTGGGCCTTAGTTTATAGCATGACATTGTAAAATGTTTTATGACATAATTAAATCATGTCAACACTAGCCAAACCTATTACCATGGTAACGTCCTGCTCACAAGAATTGTGTTTAAACATTGTTCTAACACAGTTTGAAATGTAATGACAACCAGATCTGATTGTACTTCATTACTGAAGTAAGGGCTGGTCTTTGCACAGTTTTTATACTGTTTTGCCTATAGAAACCTATATAGTTAATTCAGTACAGTCCTCTAGAGTGGATGCAGTAGTACTGATGTTAAGGTGCTTATTATGTCAGTATCACTCAAATTTAGGATAAAATTAAGATGTAGATTCAAGGAATAAAAAATGGTGTTTGGTAAGTCCTAAGAATCTGTACGCCCACCGGCAGTTCCAAGTAATTGGCTGTACTAGGGATATGAAAGGTTAACCCCTGTCCATTAGCCTCCATCTGCAGTGGGCCCAGGAGGCCCTCTCCCACCGGTCCGTGCCCCCTTTAATTGATTAACCAATTAAACAGTGATAGAAATGTAGCCGTGTTAGTCTGGGGTAGCTGAAGCAATTAAACAGGATTTTGTATCCCCTGCTTGTACTAGTATTAAAAATGCAGATGTTTTGCAGATAGCTGGCATAGCGTCTTTAAAAAGAGGTTGTCCACCATTAACTTTAGTCACCTACGTTTAAAAATGTTGGCCTTCATTGAATACCAGTTGAATTGAAAGAGGTGTAGAATAACGATTGGTGAAGGGCTGTGGCAATAAGAAAGGAAAAACAATTTATTTTACAAAATACACTTCAAAGGGTTGTTTCTTAAATACTGTCATTAGTAAGTTGTTTTCCTGCTTGAACGTTAACAGACAAATATTTTATTTCCCCTACCACACTCCAGGTAGAGGATACAGATCAGGACATCGAGACCAGAGGAGGAGGTTCCAGCTTGCGCCCCGGTAAGTAATGAAAATACAAAGATTGCAAAGAAGGCCTATAATAGGTTTGAATGAGAGATTTATAGTTTTCCCAACAGGCGAGGGCAAACAGGACAACTGCTACAGAGCCTGGTGATTCAAAAGGGCCTGCAACTCCTAGCTGCTTCTGCAGCAACTGCATCAGTGGCCAGAGTGTGGTGTGCTGTAGGCAGCACTGAAGGCTGCCTGGGGGAGCCACGGCATGCTCCAAGCATCGTTGAGGGCTGCCTGGGGAGGCCAGCTCTGCCCCTTCTGCCCAAAGGCTGTGGAATCAACCTACCCCTCTGCCTTCCACAGGGACCCAGTTGTCAGCCCCACTGCCTCCCACAGATTTCATCTTTACCTACAAAATCCAGGACTCAAGGGCTTTACCGAATGTCTGAACACCTTCAGTTTCCAGTGATTTCACCCAGGGCAGTGGGTGCTCAGCCCATTATGTCCTTTCCACACTAAGATTGAGCTAATGATATTTGGGGAATGGCCTCACTAGCTACTGTAAAATAAGTGTCAGGGGATCTGGTTACTACTTGGCACTGTCCAGTCATGGTTAAAATCCCCACATATTCCCATTTATACAGGAAAGTCCAAACTAAGTTTTAGTGGTGCTAGAGCAATCATCTAATGTAATTAGATCTTCCCAATGTAGTTTTACGTTGCGGATGAGACCTTAGTGTGCCCATCAAGAACAGTACAATACCTACGCTCTGTCAGTAGGAGGCTGCTGTTGGTTACTCCACACTCTTCTTAATGTAGCCCGCTGACAAAGTTGGAACATGAAGGTAGGTGTTAGCATTGGGGTTAAATTTCACCTACAAGTGAAACACTGGTACTTCCCTGTTGGAAAGCAGTGCTGATTTATAAGTGCTGACACCACTTCATTGCAACTTAGGAGAGGAACAACTCTGCACATCCAAGCTGTTTGTAAATCTTATCACCTCTGCCTCCTAAATAATTTCTGAGATCATCCTTTTCTGTCTAAACAACCAAAACTCTCATTCAGACCCTTTATTATCTTTAGATTTAGAGCTCTTCTTGAAGTGATGGTGCCTGTTGTATTTAACCTTCTGGTTACACACATGCACCCTGTTCCCAGAACCGGAGAATTTGAAAGCAGTGTCTCTTGGTCAGTGTGTGCACTCTGGTTCACCTGTTGCCTCTATCCAAAGGGATAAAGGTTGGGGCACACAAACCATCTCGCCATTTCCTTCTCACAGCTGCATGCTCCAAGTCAGAATCTCCAGTGTCCATAGGTTTGGCTTCAATCTACAAAATAAGAATTAGATTTAGCATTATAAATAGTTTTAACAGTTTTTAGCTTACAATTTAATGTTTTATAGATCTCTTACGGTATGTCTACACTAGCTCGTTAGTCCGAGCTAGGTAGGCAAATGAGGGCAACCGGAGTTGCAAATGAAGCCTGGGATTTAAATATCCCGGGCTTCATTTGCGTGGAACGAGAAGTAACGGTAGTTCGAATTAGGATCTCTAATTCGAACTACCTACTCCGTGTTGCATGTAGCCACAGGCACGGAGTTCGGACTAAGGGGGATTTAAAAATGGCGGCGCCTGGGAACATGCAAATGAAGCCCGGGATATTTAAATCCCAGGCTTCATTTGCAACTCCGGTTGCCCTCATTTGCCTACCTAGCTCGGACTAACGAGCTAGTGTAGACATACCCTTATTGTTTAGATTTAGTCTCTTTGGGGAAACCCATCCCTCAGCTGACCGTGCTCAAGAATCCAGGCTTCAAACCCTGTGTGTTTCTGCCTGAAATCCTTCTCCGTGAACAATGGCTACCAGTGTTGTCTTTAATGCCTTGGGGAATCCCACATTGCAACAAGATGCAGTATCTGTCAATCATTTCCCAGCCATAATATATTTCATTGTAATTTACCACACAGTTTCAGTGATGGAAATGTAAGCCACATGCACTCAGTGTAGCACTCTGTCCTTCTTTGGTGTTGGCCCTGGGCAACTACATTCAGGATGCCAAATCATCACATTAGGCAGCACCAAATCCTGTTGCTCTGTTTTTTGCTTGACTACTGTTACTGTTGTTGTTGTTGTTGTTTGTTTTATTTGTGCTTGTCTCTCTGGGGCAAGGAGGGAGCACTAAAAGTATTTTACATCTGAGATGATAAAACACATACAACCAGCTGTGGTTAAAAGAGCTGAGTCTTTTAGACCAAGCAGTAGAGGCTGATGCATGAAGATCCAGTGGCCCACCCAAGCACATCAGTATTACTTAAATTTTATTTTTTTATCACCAAATGAATTCATTTTGGCCAGAGCAATTACAGTCATTGCTAAGTAAATATGTAATGATGGTGCACACAACAGTGTAACCAACATTATAAAGATGTATACTGGTTAAGTGATATTACAAGTACTGTCCTGAAGCATTGTGGGTTTTTAAAAATTTATTTATGTGAGAAAATGGTTGTTTCAAAGTTCACATAAACATTTTTTTTTAAACTTTTCACTTGTATATCCATGCAGTGTAGAACGATCAGAGGTATTTTACCTAATTGCTGCCTTTAGGCAAAAACATTAGGCCATAACAATAAAAATTCATTAAAAATAAAGCATACAAATTTGTATCCAGAAGCAAAAATGCTGTGTGTCAACAGCACTGTGATCACATAGGAAATGGGTGAAAAGTTTAAAAACAGGTTATCTCATTGCTGGTCTGTAGCCTGATAATCTAATTGAAACTTGACTTCATCAATGTCTTCAGCTGCTTGATATTGTCCTTAGCTTTCATGTAATCTTTGGACTGAATTGGCTCAAGAGGATGTTTATGAAACTGATAATCACTCTTTTCCATTTATATATTTTGGAGCCACTATGTCTTTATTTTGTATTGAAACATTTTCAGTACATTAAAATGATAATCTCCCTTTGCCTTAATGAAGAAGCTCTTGTAGCTATTTGAATATTCCTTAATTATCCATATCACAAGTCTGGTTGAAAAGTTTTCCACCCGTCAGGCAAAGGAGTTCCCTTTCTAAATTTTAGGTCTTATAAGAATTAATAATTCAGCCACTGACCATATTAAATACAGCAATCCTTGACCTGACTCTTGGTAAACAGCCATTCAATCAGAGCCTTTTTCAGTCTCTTATCTAGCATAGAAATGAAGTATATTTTCTTCAAATTGTTTAACTGCAGTATCTTCCTCTGCAAATATCTTGCTTACAGTTATTTTTGTCATATTTTGTCAGAATGCTTCCATTGACCTTGCTAACATTGCTTGGGGAGGTGGTTTTCCAGTCATGAGTGAATTGTTTCTGTTGCTGTAGGCTGTCTCTACACTACAGCATTATGCCAACAGAGTTATGACATTGTAGTCCCCGTAGTGTTGGCATGGCCTGACTAATCTATCATTCCCCATGTTTTCTTTGTTTCCCTTTTTAAAGATAGATACTATGTTTGTCCTTCTCTAGTCCTCTGGGACCTCCTCCTTCTTCCATGAGGTCTTGAGGATTATTGATTCTCAGATTGCTTCAGCTAGTTCCTTATGTATTCTAAGGTAAATTTGGCTAGGCCTTGACGATTTGAATACATCTAACTTGTTAAAATAGTCTCTAACCCAGTCGTCTTCTTCGAGGAGTGTCCCTGTGGGTGCTCCACCTTAAGTGTCTTGGGTGTCCCTGCGCGCCTAGTTGGAGATTTTTGGTAGCCGTGTTCTCCGCTGTGCTGTGCACGTGACGCAGATGGCACACGCGGTGCCTCTAACACACATGCAGCAACCATCCCTTCAGTTCCTTCTCTGCCACCACCGGCATCCGTCGAAACTGCTCTGCTCTCCAACTTAGTCTTTCCCTTGTTAGCTTAGGATAGTTAGTTACTTGTTTGTTCTTCAGTTAAATTGTTTCAAGTTTATTGTTAGTGATAGTTGTAGTTTAAAAAAAATTATTGGTTCTTTGATTATTTAGGGTTAGTTCTTTCTAGCAACCCTAAATTTTTTTTTACCTGGAATGCCAGGTTCCCCGGATTTTAAACAGTGCCTATCCTGCAGGCTTTCAGTTCCTGTCTCCGACGGGCAGTCTCAGTGTGTTCGGTGCCTAGGTCAGACACATGCCACAGCGCACTGTGAGCATTGCAAACCGTTAACAGCCCGCATGCAGAAGGCCAGGGAGCTACAATTGAAGTTAATCTCCCTGGAAAGCACTATAAGACCAGCCTCCAACCCAGAGTACTATACACGACCACAGCAGCCCTCACCAGTGGCCATGTCGGAGAAGGCAGCCCCATCTGCCATGTCTTCTCAAGACTCTTCTTAGGAAGAGATCTCACATGATGGGAAGAGATGACTCCCCATCAAAAAAGCAGGGGACAGCACCTAAAATAACCCCTGCACTGACCCATTCAAGAGTTCAGGACAGGGACATACCGGGACCATTGTTGGTACATGGCTCCCAAGGGTCTAAGGACCTGGCAGTGCTGTCAGATAGGACACTGAGTAAGCCTAAGTCAAAATCAGCACCAGCTGCACTAACATCTACTGACTCAGCACCCAAGAAGGCCAAGTCAAAGACGTACCACGAACAGGCACTGTCAGCACCGAAGCACATCAGGGTACACACCACACCTTTGGTATCAATGCCTCCCCCAGTACCGAAAATACAAAAGCATGCTTCATTTTCAGCACCACCAACACCACAGATTGCCCCAGTACCACCATCCTCTGCACCGCCAGTGCCACCTGCATCACTTTCCCCTCCGCTAACGATGATGGAAGAGCTTAGGGTCATGTCAGAACCGACTATGCTGCTAGTCAGCACGAATGGTACACCTGCATACAGCAGATTCATGTTATCCACTCCAACCTGCTCGGCACCACCTCTGTCCACAGATGAGGACGAACCAATCAGTGGAAGCCATAATCCAAGGCATACTCTGAAGGACTCCCATACTACCTTGAAAATGCTGGGCATCCACGTTCCTGCAATAAAGCATAAGCAGGGCAGGAATTTCACTCAAAGGTATAGACCAACACCATTCTCCCAGCCTCAAAGACAGTTCAACAATAGAAGAAGGTGACAGAATACCTTGAGGCAAACCTTTTGAACCTTATGTCGAGAGTCCGGAGACACCACCTTGTTCAAGGCAGCTACATCCTTTCTACTTATTCTGGCAACATCTAGCACCCTTCTTTCAACAGTGGTCGACCATCACAACCAACAGATGGGTCCTGGACATTATAAAGAATGGTTACTCTATCCCTTTCTCCTCTCCCCCTCCGCCCCATCCACCTTCCTTGTCCCTCTTCAGAGACTCGTCTCACGAGGCCATCCTCCTACAAGAGGTCGAACACCTACTCCATCTCGGGGTAGTGGAATAGGTACCACGACGATACGAGGGAAATAGATCTACTCCCACTATTTCCTGACCAAAAGGAAGTCAGGGGGATGGAGATCTATTCTTGATCTCAGGAGACTAAACAAACACATTTGATTGCAACATTCAAAATGGACACCCTATCCACAATAATCCCTGCCCTGGACACAGACAATTGGTTATCGACTCTTGACCTTTAGGATGCTTATTTTCACATTTCCATCCATCCTGCACATTGCAAATACCTCAGGTTTACAGTCGCCAGAAAGCATTACCAGTACATTGTCCTCCCCTTTGGTCTTTCTACAAGGCTGTTCTCAAAGGTACTAGCAGTCGTTGCTGCTCAACTACACAGACAAGGAGTCTCCATATTCCCATACCTGGATGACTGCCTCATAAGAGCAACTACAAGCTCAGATACACAGAAGGCAGTCTCCTCACCAGATCCCTTTTTCACACTCTGGGAGTACAGACAAACCTTGCCAAATGCAAACTCCAACCATCACAAATCATGGAATTCATTGGAGCCCACTTGGACTGAGTGAGGACCATAGCCTCTTTACCTCTCAACAGATTTCATGCTATCAGGGACCTCATAATGATAATACAGAACACTCCAAACACTATGGTGAGAACTTGATTACAACTATGGGATCAGGATCATGTGGCTGCAGCCACGTCAGTGGTGTTGCATGCCAGGTTGCACATGTGATCAATACAGCATTGGCTGTGGACAGTATACAACCCACATTACAACCCAGTCACCAAACAGGTGTCCATCCCAACCAGGGTCAAGCGTTCCCTCCACTGGTGGACAGATGAAAGAAACGTGTGTGCTAGTGTCCCTTTTTGTAAACGTACCCCATCCATGACAGTTACAACGGATGCATCCCTCCTTGGGTGAGGAGCTCATCTAGGCTTCCTCGCTACCCAAGGCCAATGGTCGAGCCAGGAATCCAGCCTACACATAAATGTTCTGGAGCTCAGGGCAGTATTTTACGCATGTCAACACTTCCTACATCAAATACAGAATTTCACAATTGAGATTTTCACGAACGATCAAGCAAAGACTTTTTACATCAACAGACAAGGGGGCGCTAGATCTTTCCTGTTATGCAACATGTCCAAAGGCGGACAGCTTCTCTGCATACCACATGACATATACTTACAGGCCTTAGACCTCCCCTTACAGCCGATAGCCACAGCAGGAACGTCAAATCCGACCAGGAATGGGAAATGGACCCATTTATCATACATCGCCTCTTCACGCGCTGGGAGTTTCCTAATGTGGATATGTTTGCAACCAATGCCAACAAGAAGTGTCCACTGTTAACAATAACAAGAGTGTTACTGTTCTCATGCAGGCATTGGCAGGCACTCCCTGGGGGACGCATTTGCAATACGATGGAACATATTTATGAAACCTCTTCTTATTGCCTTTGTCCCTTGCCAGTGTGGCCAGGTGCAGCTCATTTTATACCTTATCCTTTCTGATTTTGTCCCTACGGGCATGTCTACACAACAGGGCTAAAGCTATAATAAGCTATGAAATTTGAGCTGTGTCAGCTGTGTATCTTAAGTCAAAATAGCTTATTTTGGCTTTTGGCGCTGTCTACACAGCAGGAAGTCTGAGAGAGAGCACTCTTCCTCCGACTTCCCTTATTCCTTGTAAAATGAGGGTTAGTGGAGTTGAAGTAAGAAGTCATCCCACTCAACATTATTTTGACATTATATTGAAATAACTGCTTGTAGTGTACACGCGGACTATGTCATGAAATAACACTGTTGTGTAGATGTACCCTACATGAATTTATACTCATCTTTAGCAATGTGCTCATGTCTCCAATTTTATAGGATTCCTTTTTTGTTTTAGATCATTAAAGAGCTCTTGATAGAGCTATATTGGCATCTTCTTCCCATAGAATCATAGAATCATAGAATAATAGGACTGGAAGGGACCTCGAGAGGTCATCGAGTCCAGCCCCCCGCCCTCAAGGCAGGACCAAGCTCCGTCTACACCATCCCTGACAGATGTCTATCTAACCTGTTCTTAAATACCTCCAGAGAGGGAGATTCCACCACCTCCCTTGGCAATTTATTCTAATATTTGACCACCCTGACAGTTAGGAATTTTTTCCTAATGTCCAATCTAAACCTCCCCTGCTGCACTTTAAGCCCATTACTCCTTGTCCTGTCCTCAGAAACCAAGAGGAACAAATTTTCTCCTTCCTCCTTGCGACACCCTTTTAGATATTTGAAAACCGCTATCATGTCCCCCCTTAATCTTCTTTTTTCCAAACTAAACAAGCCCAGTTCATGAAGCCTGGCTTCATAGGTCATGTTCTCTAAACCTTTAATCATTCTTGTTGCTCTTCTCTGTACCCTTTCCAATTTCTCCACATCTTTCTTGAAATGTGGCGCCCAGAACTGGACACAGTACTCCAGCTGAGGCCTAACTAGTGCAGAGTAGAGCGGCAGAATGACTTCACGAGTTTTGCTTACAACACACCTGTTGATACAACCTATAATCATATTTGCTTTTTTTGCAACAGCATCACACTGTTGACTCATATTCAACTTGTGGTCCACTATGACCCCTAGATCCCTTTCCGCCATGCTCCTTCCTAGACAGTCGCTTCCCATCTTGTATGTATGGAACTGATTGTTCCTTCCTAAGTAGAGCACTTTGCATTTCTCTTTATTAAACCTCATCCTGTTTACCTCTGACCATTTCTCTAACTTGCTAAGGTCATTTTGAATTATGTCCCTATCCTCCAAAGAAGTCGCAACCCCACCCAGTTTGGTATCATCTGCAAACTTAATAAGCGTACTCTCTATCCCAATATCTACGTCATTGATGAAGATATTGAACAGTACAGGTCCCAAAACAGACCCTTGAGGAACTCCTCTTGTTATCCCTTTCCAGCAGGATTTAGAACCGTTAACAACAACTCATCTTTCCTTTGCTTAGGGATTTTTGCTATTGTGTCTTTAACAGTACTTCTAGAGAATCTGCCTGAACTCCTTTCCTCTTAGATTTTCTTCCCATGGGACCTTACCTACCAATTCTCCGAATTTAAGACTGTTTTTTTATATTCATTTCCCTTATTCTATTGCTCTCATTTCCTTCATTTCTTTAGAACAATAAAATGATCACTTTCTGCCAAATGGCCTTCAACTATCAGTTTCTCAGTCAATTCCTCTCTTAGTCAAAAATAAGTCTAAAATGGCTATACCCATTCCCAGTAAAAAAAATTGTCCACAAGGAACCTTACATTCATCCGTTCTTGCCTATGTATATTGCAGATGGTATTTCTAGGAAACCATAGGGTAGGAAAAGCAGAAGAGAACCAGATGGGGAGTAAAATTTTCAAAAGGGCAGAAGTTCAATTTTCAAAAGGAATATAGGGTCATATTTCATTTAATTGGACATGAAGCATCTTGGATACTTCTGAAAATGTCATTAGGATCCTTTAAATACCTAAATAACTTCTCAAAATATGGTCCTAACAACCTAGGTCAATGAAAGTCAGGGCTTGTAAGTATTTAAGAACCAGATTTTCAAATATATTTAGGTGTCTAAAAATTTAATTAGGCACTAGCACAGGGGCAGGAAACCTTTTCTGGGTCAGGGGCTGGTGGCCCTTAGAAGAGTCAGTTGTAGGCTGCATCTGGCCTCCCGGGGCCTTAGGTTCCCCACCCCTGCACCAGTGGAATTTTAAAATCCTATTTGCTTCTTTAAGCATCTAAGTACATGTGAAAATCTAGACCCAAAACCCTTTTGAAAAAGATACTAAGGACTTGTCTGTATTTAAAACACCTCAATAGTACATCAGTGCCATTGTAGCACTTCAGTGTAGATACTTAGCTATGGCAACACGAAAGATTCTCCTATTGTCAGAGAGAATCCACATTTATGAAAGAGAGTAGCTAGGTTGATGAAGTTCAGTTAACCTAACACTGTCAACACAGGTATATAGGTCAGTTTCACGACGCATCTTAGTGTGGTGGATTTTTAATATCGCTGAGTAACATAGTTAAACCAAACTAATTTTCTTGTGTAAACCTGGGCCTTAAGTATTTATCCTAAATACTCTTTGGAAATTTTAAATAGGCTTTTCGTCATTTTGTATGGTCACAGGAGCAGTTTGTCTGCTGTATCTCTTCACATGGACTTTTATTATTTGAAGTTGTTTAAATATTGATATGTGTATGTCTTGCTTAGCCCATCACAGACTGTTTGTATTTTAGATGGCCCAGATGACTTTGTCCATGATTGGAGCCGAATGAAAAGTGATAAGACGACAAAATGTTTTTTATAAAGTACTCTAAATTGAATATAATAAAATAATTTCTGTATTTTTATTGTACTGTCAATAATATGATAAATCCAATACACATTTTAAGATTGGTCGTGAGAAGTATTTAATTACATTACCCTGATTTCTCTCAGTATTTCCAATTCCATTTCATTTTGACTTTTCATACTTCTTTTCATTAAATTAGCAATGTTTGTAAGAGTATGTGTTATGCTCTGAGGCAAACTTTGAAATGTTTGATTCCCAATTCCACAGTGATAGCTGCTTTATAAAAGTCTCAGACAATTATGATTTCTGACTGTAAAGGAAATATGTACAGAAATGGAGGCTACTTTTATGTGGTGAAGAAGTTAGAATAAGTCTAAAGTGGTAAAGCCATGAGTGAGTTTAAGAGTAAGCTTCAGAGAGGTAGCTGAGTTAGTCTGTAATAGGAAAAACTTTAAAAAATAGAATAGTCTAGTAGCACCGTAAAGACTAACAAAACATGTAAATGGTATCATGCACTTTCATGGGCACAGCCCACTTCTTCAGATGACAGAAGTGGGTTGTACCCATGAAAGCTCATGATACCATCTACATGTTTTGTTAGCCTTTAAGGTGCTACTAGACTATACATTGTTTTTTAAGTTTTTTCTTAAGGGAAATGATATATCTATATCTGTGGCTGTCCTATGCCAGCTAATTTAACTTGGATTAAGATTAGGGCTGCAGCCCAAATTCTGGGACCCTTGCATTTTACAAGGTCCAGAACTTAAGCTCCAGCCTGAGGCCAAATGTCTAAACTGCAGTTTAAGAGCCCTTGCCCTGAGCCTTGCTAGCTCAAATCAACTGGTGCAGGCAGCTGTGGATTTTTATTTGCAGTGTAGACATACTCTACACGTGCAGTCATCCCAGCCACATATACATATATTCCATGTATGCCACATCTTTTACAGAAAAAAGTTTTAGAAGTATTTCAGATAACTTTACCTTAAAAATACGTTTTTGTATCTGCCTGTAAAGCCAGGTGGCTTAATTATTACATGAGGGGCTCAAAGGAAGAGGGAAATTATAGCTAATAGGTTTTAGAACTCTCTAAAGATACCTTTTCTAGACACAAAATTATTCACAGCATTAAAGGCTCATTATTTTAAAGTCTCCCAGAGCAAAAATGAGTGCTGCCTCCCCCCATTGGGAAACCTAGAGGTTCCCTTTTCAGTTGTATAATGGTCCCATATCTAGCCTTTTGCAGTGTTTATACATCAAACCTTAAGCGTGTCAATTAGCAAGAAGAATATTGCTCATCTTGGGTCTTGGACTTCTGCAGTTTTGGAGGACACTTGAAATGAGGGAGATGGGAACAAAACAAAAAGTTTGTCAGCTATTTGAAGCACAGTGGTTAAAATTCTGTCTCCATTGAAATCAATAGCAAAACTCTCATTGATTACAGTGTAGATGCTCAGAATGGTCTCACCAGTTATAGATTAGTGATAGAAATGTAGCCGTGTTAGTCTGGGGTAGCTGAAGCAAAATGCAGGACAATGTAGCACTTTAAAGACTAACAAGATGGTTTATTAGATGATGAGCTTTTGTGGGCCAGACCCACGAAATCTATAATAGACAGTTATAGATTAGTGAACGGTGTTCAGGAGTGGAACCAGACATGTACCATAAATCATTTTCTCACAGGCGTACAATTTGTCACATGGATTTCCCCTTACGTGTGGGGTAGTGCATACAAAATAGTATATTGTAGATTAAATTTGTGTGTTCAAATATTTGGCTTGATGAATATATACACATTCTTATCTCTGAAATAATAGGCTTATTTCTAATGTTAAGGATTAACAACAGATGGATTCCAAAGTCACTACAGAAGGTTGATTTATCTGTGTGGAACAGTTAATAGTAGCTAGTTTTTAATTCATTCTATTGCTAGTTAGCTCTGGTACTCCTTAGGTCTTATGCAGATGTTTGCTTTTGAGCCAACTATCCATTGAGTTTTTCCCATCTCATCTGTGAGTTCTGTAAATATAAAGGTTTTGTCATTTGTACACAATATAGTATTATTTTCTTGTATGTATTTATTGACTAAAATACAATAAATGTATTGTGACATTATTACAAAGCTAAATAAATAAACAATAGCCCAGCATTTTTAATTCTATAAAAACAACTGATTCTGATTTCACTCTTTTTAAAACATGACACTAGTTTTGCCTGATCTGCTTTCTGAGGATCATATGATTGTTTAGGGCAGTCCTACCCTATTCTCCTACCAGCTATTTACTTTATTTTTAAATGTACTACCTGCTAGTCAAAGCTTTTTAGGAGAATTTACTGAAAGCCTTTGCGTTGCTAGGTTTTGGCACTTTAAAAATTACCAGTGAGATTTAAAGGCACCCTCTGCTGACATTTTTTCTTATGCTTGACTATAGCCAGAAGTTGCTAATTATCCAGACTTCTGAGCAAAAGATTATTTCTCCTTAGAAATCATTGGCTTGGACCAGGAGATCCATGCAGGTGCTGTACTCCCAAGGAATATTAGCTTATATCAGAGGGCTTTGGTTCTGCTCTCATAGCCAAGGCTAGTCAGAACTACATGAGGCTGTAAGCGAGAAAAGGAAATCACACAAGGAAAAAAAGGCCTTCCTGAAAATGCAGATTTGACGGAGTCCCTCAATGCCTGACTGACACGTTTTCTAACCTAACATTGTTGCCCCACTTGGGATGCCTGGAGTTTTAGGAGGAAGAAGGAGCTACAGGGGACAGACAGAGTTACACAAATATGAAACAGTCTCCTGCACTGAGGCAAGACTAAGGGTATGTCTACACTACCAACTTTTGTCACATAAACTAATGTTGATACACAGAAGTCACCAAAAAAAAGTTGCCAAAGTGTGTTTACACTTGCTCTGTTGTCAGATTGTACCCACATTTTTAGCTCCCCTGTTGACAACGGGAGCAATGTACTGTGGGTATGTATCCCACAGCGCCTGGCGACACCATCTGTTGCTATGTGTCAAGGGACTGCAGAACAAAGTGTGGGGCATCTAGGGACTGTGCATAATATCCCATCCAGCACTGCTTTGTTCAGGGGCTCCTGGCATCCTTTTGCGCTTTTTTTTTTTCCAACTGCTGTTTTCTGCCTTGCACTCTGAGATCTGCAGTGAGAAAGAATGGATCCCACATTTCTCTCTCATACTCTATTAACTGTGGTGAGAACCTCATGCATGGCAGCAGAGATCATCTGACAGAGGAAGAAGACTCAGAGGAGTCTCACTGTGCATGATATGAACAGTGGCAACCTATCATTGCATTTGCCAGGCACAGAGTAGCTGTACAGAGTAGATCAGTGTTTCTGGACTTGGGAAACCAGCACAGATTGTCATGCAGGTGTGAGATGAAGACTAGTAATTACATAACTTTAAGATGCATAAAGCAACTTTTGTGGAGCTGTGTGCTGAGCTGATCCCCACCCTGCGGTGCAAGGACATCCGAATGAGAACTGCCTTCTTGGTTGAGAAGCATGTTGCAATTGCTGTGTGGAAACTGGCAACTCCTTATTGATGTCCGTCATGATACCATCTACATTTTTTGTTAGTCTCGAAAGTGCTGCAAGACTATTTGTTTTTCTAGTTGCAAATCAGTTTGGAGTAGGGAAGTCGACCGTTGGAACTGTGCTGCTGCAAGTGTGCAGGGCAATAAATCTCATTCTCCTACGGAGAACTGTGACTGGGAAATGTGCATGACAGGGCAGAGGTGGGGAACTTTTTCTGGGTCGGGGACCAGTTCCCCACGGAAAAATTAGTCGGGACATGCACAAGAAGCAAATAATAATAATTAATAAAAAAATCCCTCACTGATGTGGCCCTCAAGTAAGAAGCAGAAACACACACCCCACGTCTCCCTCCCACACCAGAGCCTAGGGGTGCCCCGGCTAGTAGATTTTGAGTGCTCCAGCCCCACAGTGAAGCAGTGGCGGGGGGGGGGGGGGGGGGGGGGGGGGGGGGGGGACATGCACAAGAAGCAAATAATAATAATTAATAAAAAAATCCCTCACTGATGTGGCCCTCAAGTAAGAAGCAGAAACACACACCCCACGTCTCCCTCCCACACCAGAGCCTAGGGGTGCCCCGGCTAGTAGATTTTGAGTGCTCCAGCCCCACAGTGAAGCAGTGGCGGGGGGGGGGGGGGGGGGGGGGGGGGGGGGGGGGG